TTTGTAGGCCATATCCTTCTGTCCTTTTGATTTAGCCCTGTAGGGTGAGATTCTTGTTCCCTAAATAGTGCATTCACTGTTAAAGGTTTAAGTTCTAATTTGTTTTCTTAGTATGATTATTCTTAGACTTGTCTTATATCTGCATTTATTTTTTGAGTGGGTAGAGTGTGTTAAATTATACAATGAACGGATTTCAAAGTAATCAGAAAACCTTAAATTCTGAGGTCTTGTTTAGATGCTGAGTCTGCAGAAAGTGAGGGTGTCAAATCTTTCATTTCCCGCAGTTGACCTTCAACTTTCTTTGTTTTATAGGAACAAGAGTATAGCTGTGTGGTAAAGATGCCTTCTGGTGAATTTGCACGCATATGCCGAGATCTCAGTCATATTGGAGATGCTGTTGTAATTTCCTGTGCAAAAGATGGGGTGAAATTTTCTGCAAGTGGAGAACTTGGAAATGGAAATATTAAGTTGTCACAAACAAGTAATGTTGATAAGGAGGAGGAAGCTGTAAGTAGTTTTTAAGTAAACAGAATACTTTGAAGAGTAACAGATTATGTCTCAGTCTACTAACGCTTCAATAAGAAAATACCGTAGACTGAGTGGCTTATAAACAATGAAAACTTATTTCTCACAGTTCTGGAGACTGGGAAGCTGGCAGATTTGGTGTCTGACAAGGACCTTCTTGGTTCACAGACAGCAGCCTTCATGCCTGATGGAAGGGACAAGGGAGTTCTCTGGGATCTCTTTTATTAAGAGCACTAATTCCATTCATGAGGACTCTGCCTTGGTAACCAGAAGCACCTCCCAAAGGCCCCATCTCCAGTACCATCACATTGGGAATTTGGTTAGGGGAGGGGGTGGAGCACATTCAGTCTGTAGCAAGGTAACTGCTAAAATTAAAGAAAGCTCTAAAGAAAAATAGACAAAATTTGCATTTCAAAGTAACTAATTTGTGAGAACTGAAAGACATTGTTGAAATATGCAAGTAATTTATAAGTGCCACCAGCATGAATTTGTGAGAAGGGAATGCAAATTCAGTACATCCTTTATAAACTGCAGAAAAATGGGTTTGTATGTAAAACCCACACACAGACTAAGAGTAGGATAGGAAGCTAGGCATCTAACCATTAGCTTTCTGGAGGTATTTACTCTTTTTACCAAATAATGGAGCATAGGACAGCAACTAAACAGGAGGGTCTAGTTGGGGAGAAAAATCTAGCTATTACGAGCTTTTGTGGAATCCTTATATTAACTTTTAAATGAAGACTTTAGTGTGTGTGTACATGTATGTACATATCTCAAAAATCCAGGGCCTAATCCTTTTATCTTCTAAATTACATTTCACTTCCCTGCCAATCTTGATTTTTGTTCTTAATCTCAAACATTAGTTCATCCATAAATATTTTAATGTTATTTGTGGTATAAACATTTTATGACACGTAAGAAAATTATGATATTAAGGAATTTTTCAGTGTTCTACTTCCTTGGTTATTTGAATCAATATTGTAATAAGGTTCGTACATTGCAGTTCATTAATACACTCCTTAAATTTCTTTCAATCCATTGGTTCTCTCTCCAATTTCATTTTTCCCCTCTCCATTAAAATTGTTTGTTAAAAAAACTTAAGTCATTTGTCATCAAGTTCCCCAAAGTCTGCATTTTGTCTCCTATCCCCTATGTCAATTAATATGTTCCTCTACTCCATATTTTCTGGTAGATGCAGCTTAGATGCAGCTTTAGAAGCTGATGGTATTTAGGATGTTTTCTTTGTGTTGAGGGCCAGAGCACAAGAATATTTTATAGATGGTGATATGTAGTAGGAGGCATGAGGTATCTGGATATCTTAGGGATTTTTATCAGCCATAATAATTTTTGTCAGGATCATTAAATCATTAGGGTTTGCAGAATTGTAATACTAATGCATTTCATTCATTAGCTGATTTATTTATTAGAAATATTTCCATAAAGAGTTCTCATCACATAATTTAACCACCTGACATACAGTGTAAATAGGAAAGGCAGGCTAAGTACTTAAGCTTTTTCTTTATTTACTAATCTTCAAAATTAGTTTCATAGCACCCTCCAAAGTAACCAATAAAAAGTTTTTTTGTGTGTTAGAAATACACATTAGAAACTAATGGGTTGCAGTTTCTTGATGATCTGCATTAAGATCTTTTGTTTTCTCCCTTAGGTTACCATAGAGATGAATGAGCCAGTTCAGCTAACTTTTGCACTGAGGTACCTAAACTTCTTTACAAAAGCCACTCCACTCTCTCCTACAGTAACACTCAGTATGTCTGCAGATGTACCCCTTGGTAAGATATTTTGTTGAATCTTGTTTTGTAGATAGTGTGTGTGGTACTTCTCAGTCATTTAACTATGTTCCTGTTTTCTTTCAGTTGTAGAGTATAAAATCGCTGATATGGGACATTTAAAGTACTATTTGGCTCCCAAGATCGAGGATGAAGAAGGATCTTAGGCATTCTTAAAATCCAAGAAAATAAGACTAAGCTCTTTGAGAACTGCTCCTAAGCTACCAGCACATACTTAAGTCTCTTCTTTGTACCTCTGAGTACATATGTAGATAACATTCTCTGTAAATAACCTTGTTTTTCCTCCATTCTCTACAGTTTGTTTAAAGAATAAAGTCCAAAGTCAAATATGGTCTTGTTAATCTAGAAGTACTTCTGCCTTACCTAGAAATACTCTTTATGTTTTTATAAACAAAAGGATTCTGACTCTAAATGCAGTTTTGTTTTCAGTTTAAATAAAAGTTATTTGAATTTCAGGCATCACAGGACAGTGCCTTCTTTTGGACCACAATGGTTGCAAGTATCCTAGGGAATTCACAGTTAAAGCAACTTTCATGTAAATGTTCTTATTTGCTCAGTCTAGAGCAGCTTGATACATGACATTAGATATAGCAATAAAAAGTATTCCAAACACAGCAGGTTACAAAATATTTTGGGGGGGTTCATTTGCCAAACCTACTCTAGTATCCTGACGAGCTCAAGAAATGAAAAGGAGAACAAATCTTACATATTTTATTATTTTGTCTTTTTTTTTTAAATTAACACTTTACAGAAGCTTAATGTACCCAAAGTTTTGTGGGCTTTATAAGACTAGTATTGCTATAGAGCAGTGTTTTCTTTAGCCTAGAGAGCCTTGTACAGGAATCTTGGAAATTTTAATAGATCTGTGATAGAGCCCAAGAAATATGTGCAGATATAATTTCTCTAGTGTAAGTAGCCTTTCTTGGGACTTAATCCCTTAAAGGATGAAGATGGCTTAAATTCCATAGATGTTAGATTTAACCAAGAAAGTGAAAAGGCCCAGCTGTTGTGAAAGATTTAAACGTTCCAAGTAATAGTGCTACAAGGTCACAAATTGACATGCTGCATATCGAGAATTGCTTTATTGTAGTCCTTTTTCTCACTGTATTTTGTTTGGTAGGTTAAATGACTGGTTTCTGTGTTGTACTCTAGTGAGTTACAATTAGTGGACGGCAGAATTCATGCCTGGGGTAGGAATATCGGCTGCAAAGCAGCCTGATGTAAGTTTTTTGAGTGATGGAAAAATTTTACCTACACTGTGGTGGTGGTTCCAATACTATGCATTTGTCAAAACTAATCCAGTTGTACTTTGTTGTATGTAAGTTATGCTTTAATAAACCTTGACCTTTTAAAAGGCTTTACGTGTTGAAAAATGTCCCTTGTGGGTAGGCCTCTTACACCGGCGAGGCCTGATGACACGGAGCGGAAACAAGCAAGAATGTGGGACTACAGGAGAACAGTATGGTATAGGGTCGTAGAGACGGTGGTGCCCCCCTAGGAGAGGCTACTGCCCTGGGCATAGGGACACTGGACAGCTCAGGTCTTCCAGAAGCTTCGCAGGCTCGGCTTCCGCCTCCTGCGGGCGCCACTGCGCTCCCTGCACTGATCGAAGGGTCTGAAAAACAGAACGTAGCTCACTAGTCCCGGGCCCGACTGTGACCCAGGCGGTCCGGCTTCCTAGGCACCCGCCCGCCTAGGCGGAGGTAGTCGGCCGCCTGCCTAGACTGCGGCGCCTCCCGAAACTTCAGGGCACGCGTTCCAACCGCGTAGTCCTAAGGCCCCGACGCCGTAAAGCTGGCCGCTCGCACGATCACCGTTAAAACGTGACGGAGAGCGCAACGGGACGGTGTCGCTCCCGGTGACGCCACGTCCGGCGCGCCGCCTTCCGGCACGCCATTTCCGGCGTCCGCCGGATGGGGGTGGGGCGGCAGTTGGGGGAGGCGGGCCATGAGGCTTCCGGCGCGCCTGCTGCCAACCGGGAGCAAGCTGTCGGTTCGCGGGCGGCCTGGCCGGGGCTCCGGTAAGGCGTTCGTGCGGCGGGGCGAGAGCGGAAGCGCCCGCCTTCAGGCTCGCGACGCGGCCCAGAGAGCTCTCCCCGCGGAGCTCAAGCCCCGAGTCTTGGGTGTGGAGTGCTCGCCCGCCCGGGGCACGGCTGGCCTCTTTCCAGAAACGGGCTTTTGCTTTCAGTCTAAATTCGCATCGGTTTTTATTTCTCTTCCCGGCTAGGTCTGCAGGCGGGCAAGGAGATTGTGTGGCGGCACGTAGTGCCAGGCGCTGTGCTTTGCTGATGCTTTAAAAATTCTTGCAACATTCAAATGCTGAGGAAATTTAGGGGTTGCGGTGAAACTGGTTAAAAAAAAAAAGCCTGTTGGGAGCTTAGACTGGTACTTAGAAAACATCGGTTTACATTTTTCCTTTACTCTTGTAGAATTCTTACTGTTTGCCACCAATAAGCATTCGTCTCCTCTTTCTCTCACGCTCTGCGCTTTTTGGTGGTCTGATGCGGTGTGAATAGTTACTGACAGAGTACGTAAACTTTAAACTTTTTTTTAAAGACTAATACAAATTAGAAGTGATTAAATGCCCTCAAAACCCCACATATTGTTAGTTCGGACTTTAAAGTTTATAGAATTAAATTTAGATTCTCTTGTAATTAGGATCGCAGCATTTAAAAACCTAGTAGTATTTGCCTCAGTTTGATCTAACCCTTTCAGAAAAACATATGTTAGCTTACCCTTATTTTTTCAGTACTTGAATTCTGGGGCCAGTATATAGTTACTAAGAAGGGGCGTGACCATTTAGCCCCAGTACCTTCATAATGCTAATTAATTTAGATTGACTGCAGGCCACTTAAAACAGCTCATTCGGTATTAGGTATATATAAAGCACTTAAAACAGTACCTGTCACCTTTAGCACTAGGTAGGTTAACTGCCATTGTAATGGTGATGATTACTTGCAAAATGTCATGCCAGAGGAAGGCTAGTCCTTATTTTTGTTTTTTATGTTACTGTCATTGAAATACTTCATTTTCTTTTTAAAGATATGTTTCGCTTTTAGAAATCAAATAGCTTCACAATCAAAATAGATTTACTTCTTTCATTGGTATAACTTTGTAATTTTATGGAAGAAAAGTACACAAATTACAAATGTTTTTCAATTTAAATATTAATGTTTTTTAATGTTACCATCTTTTACACCGGTGTCATGATGACCATGATTTCATTGCTGGAGTCAGCTTTGAATATTTTGAACAAAAACCGGATTTTATTCAGGTTTTTGTTTGTTTGCTTGTTTGTTTTTAATGTAGCTGTAGAAGTAACCTGGAAAGTGAGATCACTACTTTCAGTGCTTGGGGAGGAGCAGAGAGACAGGCAAATCAGAGGGCACTGTGTACAGTACTGGTAGCCGGTAGCTTATCCACATTTACAACAAGAAGCTTTATAGATCAGTATTAAAAGGGAAATAGAGGGAAAATCACAGGGAAATAGGCAAAATACGTATGTAAATGTATTCCATTCCCTACCCTCCCTCCTCTCTCCCTGGCAAATAAGAGAATCATTTGAGTATATACTCCTCTTGCTGTTTCTGGTAGCAAGGACAGGGGACAAGCAATACTATAGCAGAATGGCTAAAAAAATGGACTTTGATGTCAGGTGGACTTAAGTCACCACTTTCACCTACTGTCTGTGTGACTTTGGAAAAATTAGGAGGCAGAGAAACATTGGTGGCAAAATAAACATAAGATCTGTTTCTTGGCAAATGTCTTGACTCTCATTCTACTAGGACAAACCAGAGTAGATAAATAATGACAGTGTTTTCACTTTGTCAGAGGAATGCCAGGTTCTAAGAATAGCAGAGCCTAAAATTGCCAGTTGCTCGTGTGACATTGCAGCCCGTAATTCCAATACCTATAGCAGACACATTGTTGTCTCCTGCAGAGAATAATACTTTTCCTTGTTTTCAGGCTGTAGCTGTGTCAGCGTGTTATGATGCCATCTCGTACCAACCTGGCTACTGGAATCCCCAGTAGTAAAGTGAAATACTCAAGGCTCTCCAGCACAGACGATGGCTACATTGACCTTCAGGTAAATGCAGAAGGGAGCTGATAAGATTGACTGGCTCTGCTTCTGCTGAGTTAGCAGGTAGACCTTCCAGGTGGAGGTTTTGCTAACTGTCCCTAAGGATTAGAGGGAGCTGCAAGAAAGAAACTCATCTCTGAGATTCTTTCAGCTATAGCCTGCAGAAGAAGGGACTGTGGCAGAGCAGTTATGAACCAATGTAAATATTGTCCATTTCTAAGAAATTTTAGTTGTAAAATGCCAGAGTCCAGTAGTTGCAAATTTCATTGAGTTTATCTGAAAATAATCAGGTTGCGTTTTGCTAAGTAGAATTTTTTTAAGGACTGTGTCGTTGGTTTGTTTACACTTTAGTCAAAACCAGTTCATCTTTTAAGGGAGAAACTAACTGCTAAAGCCAGCAGATTGTGGGAGTCTTCCTTCTTTCCTGATGTCATGAGATCCAATTTATTAAAGGTATTCTTTATGGCAAACAGTAAGTAAGACAGAATATTAAGTTTGTGTACTACCCTCATCATTGTTTATAAACTACTTCATTGCATATAAGATACTAGCATCCCCTTTGCCCACTTCCCCTTAGAATAGAATATTTTAGGTGGAACCAGGACCAAGGAGGAAATAGCAGGAACCCATCCTTTTAAATATAAACAGATCAATTATTGTTTGACTTTTTGGATCCACACTTGAAGGAGAGTAGTTTTTCTTTTTCTTTTCTTTTTTTTTTTTTTTTTTTTTTTTTTTTTTTTTAAGTTATATCTCGGAAGCTTCCAGCCAGTTAGGTCAGATACAACATGAGCCAAACCTTAGTAATCTGTCTCTGAATCTTAGCCTTGAATTGAACTTGTTAATAAGGAGGTTACTTGCCCTGCGGGGCAGGCAACTAACGCTTTAGAAAAAGTTGTTTCTAAAACATTTGACTGCATTCTGACTTAGCTTTGAATGCCAGAAGTCATTTATTTTCTTTCTTACTTTTCCACAGCGAGATACTCACTCTTCATCCCCATGGATTAGCCTTCCATGTGCCAAGCACATAATAAGCACGTGTAATTAATGAATGACCAAAGTGCCTTTTGTTTTTGTAAGAAGATAGCTTTTTTATGGTACAATGAATGGTCTGTGGAATGAGACTAGAACTAGAAAGAGTAACACTCTGCTGGGACTCCCTCGAGTGACCGTTCGCGCAGTTTAACTGGAGCGTCAGCTACTGCCTGTGCTTTTTCCTTCTCCCCCAGAGCTACGCTGGATAGTAGGACTTACTTCAAGACACACGAGACATCCAGATTGGTTCTTCTTATCCTCCCCGTTTTAAAGTGTCTAAGCCCTGGTGTATTCATAATGCTCTTCCTTGTCTTTTTTGTTTCTCTTCCAGTTTAAGAAAAGCCCCCCTAAGATCCCATACAAGGCCATTGCACTTGCTACAGTGCTGTTTTTGATTGGCACCTTTCTCATTATCATAGGCTCCCTCCTGCTGGCGGGCTATATCAGCAAAGGGGTAAGTGGAGGGGCTGGTGGGAAAGCCATGAGATGTTTAAAATGTGAGCCAGGACTCTATTGTTTTACATTCATATCTGGTACAGCAGATACCAGCAGGAAAGAGAAAGGGATTTTCTTTTGGATTTTATTCTCTGATAATAAGGTGTGTTTCTTTCTTTGAGCCACAACAGATTCTCCCACAGTTCCTGTAAGGTGGGTATGGCTGGTAGGCACATTTTTCCCTCTGGATATGGGGCAATTTTCCTACCATCATAGTTTGGAACAGCAAGGCTGAGCCTGGCATTAAAGACTCTTGACTGACGAAGGCCACAACTAGAGTAGAATGCTGCTTGCTGTTACATCTTTGCAGTACCTCAGACGTACTGCTGTAGTCAGTGCTTGAGGAGAAACGGTGAGGGTTGTATATAGGTCTGGGGCTGCTGACCAAGCCAGGAGTTTGGCTTATGGATCAGATATTTCATAAATTAGATTTGGTCAGAGTTTCTTTTGAGCTTCAATATGATACCTTAGAAACCTAAAGTGGTTTTTGGTGGTTCTTTCTCTTGGATTGTATACAGTTGCTTCTACAAAGCATCTAAGTTGCTGTTAAACTAATATTGATGGTAATTCACATCCATTCTTCAGTGCAAACCAAGCCAGGGAATGATGGTCATAATTGCTCTGCGGAAGGAACACAGCCAGGAGCTAAAACTATGGGCATTATCGCTGGAATTGTAAATAGTAGCATTGTCACAATAAAATGGCTGCTTTTAGAAGTGTATCTAATTTGCCTTAGGTCCTTAGCTATAAATAAATTATGTGGCTGCCAGATGCTTACTTGGGGCAGTTTAAGCTTGACCGTCTAACTTCAGGACTGTGCCTTCAGTCAAGTTTCATTGCAGCATGCAGTGCTAACTCTGGGGGCAGGAGCAGGGGTCTATTCGTGATGTAAAAATTGAGAATAGAGGTGAAATCCACATGCAACAAATATCACTTCACCTTGCGTGGTTTATCAAAGACTACTTTAGAAATAAGGATAAAGGTATTAATTAAGAAAATCACTTATTAGTTTTTTTAGTTTTTCACTTTTTTTTGTGGAACTACAAGATTTTTATTTAAAAAAATTTTTTTTCTTTCCATTATGGTTTATTACAAGATACTGAATATAGTTCTGTGCTATGCAGTAGGTCCTTGTTGTTTATCTGGGTTTTTTTAACTTTTTGATTGATTTACAGTCATTTTACAATATTGTGTCAAATTCCAGTGTAGAGCACAATTTTTCAGTTATACATGAATATACATATATTCATTGTCACATTTTTCTTCACTGTGAGCTAGTTTTTCACTTTTTATTGCAGATGTTTCAAAACAGTAGGTGCAATAATTTAATGAACCCCTGCCACGTGTACCCCACGGAGCATCAACAGTTATGTTTTCTTTCATCTATACCCCCAACTTTTTTTCTGGTAAACTAAAGAAAATACCAGATTTGCATTTGCTGATAAATTCATAAGTGTGCATCCTCAGTATGCATCTCTAACAGTTTTTACATAAATCTTGGGGTGCTAGCTTAATATCATTTATCTTGTTTTTCTGTTTTTCATATATCTGGCAAACTGTTAGATTTAGGGACTTGCTTAGATCTACTTTAGTTTTATTTTAGAAAGAATATTTCGTAGGGGTTGCTGTGTAATTGCTATTGCACATTGGTTCTCAAACTTCAGTGTCTGTCAGCATCACCTGGCAGACGTGTTCCCACACAAGTTCCCTGACCCTAGTCCCAGAGGCTCCAGTTTTGTAGGTCTAGGGTTGAGCACAAGAATTTGCATTTCTGACAAGTTCCCAGGTGATGAAGGTGATGATAGTTGTCCAAGGACCACACTTTGAGAACCATTGCTATATAGCATTACATTAGGAGGCACATTATGGTTGTCTAAATTTTTATTTGATATTAAGATTGATTACTGGGTTCACATGTCTTCAGTCTAATTCATTCATTAAGGACTTATGCCCCATTACCCTTTGCACTGATGAGTCCAGTTCTAACATTTTCTGCATTTATCAGCTAAAATTCTTCTAGAACTTTCTCAAATCCACTATTTGGCTACCCTGAAATGCAGTGTGTATAGTGAAGGTAGGAAAAATGTTTGATGATTTCTCTTTAATTATCAACTTTTATGAAATTATACCTAGCAACCTCGAAAGGTGACCATAGAATTGCTAGTGTCACTGTAAGCTTATCACCTTTTTACATACTTGTGTTCCAGTCAACTGCAGTCTGTATTCTTTTTAATATATAAATTGTCCCATATTTGCTCAGCAGGAGCCTCTTCAAGTTACTCCTGTGTCTTTTAAAGCTGACCCAGGTAGCTTTTAACAGCTTTCTTGCTCAGCAAGTTATCCCAGGCCCAGCTATAGATTTCCTGTCCCCCCAACTTGTAAATAGCCATTTCTCTAAGGAGCCCTGGTTTCTTTATGGGAGATAGACTTAGAGATCACAAACTGGACATTAATCGTTCTCATTGCTATTGGGTTTCATTGTTCCTAGGCCTTTTCAGTGACAGAATTAGGAAATAGGTATCTTTAGAAAACAAAGGAAAATCATATTGTATAGATACAATAGCATATAGATGTAGTATAATATATAGATATTTGCCATGCAAATTTAAGACTAGAGTTTGAACTTAATTTCTTCGATTTTAGGTATGTATATCTCTTCTAATGATATTGATATAGTTACTTACATCCCTTATTCTACATTATACGTATAATAGTTTCAAAATAACAGCAGAATTAATGCTAAGTAAAAGAAGGCTGAATGTACTGTATGTTTCCTTTGCAATTCTTTTAACCTTGGAATCTATCCCACTAGGGATGTACAGTTGAAATCCTGCAAAAAGTGGAAGAAGCAGAAAAGTAGAAAATATAAAATAAGATGATAGAAAAAGTACTGAGCATGTTAATTGTGAGAGTTGTAGACTTTATTCTTTTTAATGCTCAGGTAGTGCCCTTCAAGTTCTCTTCCCTCGGTTTTAAGCTTGCGTTCACTGAGTCATATGTGCCAGCTGGGACTACTTGCTTTACGTGTGTCACCTCATTTAGTTTTCACTAGAACCATATGAGGGAAATAATCCTATTTCCGTTTCTGAATGAAACAGCCAAACTTATATTGATCAAATAGCCTATCAATATACATTGTGTAAATAGCCCTGTTAAAAGAAGATTTTTTAGATTAGGTGCATGTCTTTAGGGAAATCTTCCTAAGCTTAAAAACAACGGGAAAAATCACAAAGAACAAGAAGAATAAATTTAACTGTATAAACATTTAAAACTGCACCTACACAGGAGAGGCAAAGCAGTTTCATAAAGGTGAATCCATTCATTTAGCAGATTTATTAAGCCTCTATTATATGTTGGACACAGCCGGGGATAACAAGGATGAACAAAGTCCCTGCCCTCATGGAACACCCCCAAAAGTTGAAGCCCTATTAATAAAGAAACTAAATACCATTCCTCCCTCTCTGACCTATGAATTGTGCTTGTGGGAATGAACATATCCTAAGAAAATAACCTGGAAGACCAGGCAAAACACTGAAGTTTATTGTGGTATTCTTTGCAGTTACAAAAAGGTATCCAGCTATCTGGGG